GCTGCGGGGCGTTCGTGGGGAGGGGGGGGGGGGGGGCGTGGGTGCATGAGTTGGTGTAGCCAAAAATGCGTTTTTTGCGGGAGATTTTTCCTTTTGGGGCAGCTGAGAGGCTGCAGGTACTAGGTGGTAAAAAGGAGCTTGGGCACTTGGGAAGCATGTCTGAGGCTCAGCCTGAGGCTGGCAGATGAAAGCAGATAGTTTGGGGCTCCTAGACTCCCCATTTTGGTGGGCAGAAGGTCCCATTCAAATGGTCTGGTAACTTAAAAAAAAAATAGTTTTTTTTTTTTTTTTTTTTAATTTTTGGGCAGCAGCAAAGCTGCAAGCGCTAGCAGGTAAGAAGGCAGCTGGCTTGGGTGGTTGGAAAGCATTTCCGAGGCTCAGGATTGTGCGGGCCGGCTCCCGATCCCATCCTCGCCATGTGCGAGCCGGGCCCGTCTTTGCGCACGCGGACTGTGGCCAGCAGCCCGGGCACGCGGGGCCGAAGAAAACCGTGGGGCGGTAAAGCACGTGCAAGCTAGAATCAGTTATGGAGGCGTAATGGTTGATTGAAAAGATTATTTACTTACACCCAAGGTGGTCGCGGTGTAGGCTGGACAGCTTTCCAGGCGCAGCTCCGCTTGAATCCTCGTTGCAGGATTCTGACAAACTCGGTTCTCTGACCCTGGAGTGGTTTAGGCTCCGCGTGTTAGACAATTCTTTCCTCATGGAGTGGCTGAATCTCCATGGGTTCTGTTCGGTTCCCAGGTCCCCCGGAGCTGTTAAGACTCCGTGGGTTCGAAAATTGGGTATATAGGATAGGGATACATCTAGGATTGCGCTCGGTGACAGGGAGAGGCTAGAAGCTAAACGGACCTCCGTTGCCTGCTTAAGAAAGGTGCATTGGGTCTGCAAGGGTCCACATTGCTTGGAGATCTTCACACAGCGCGAAGCCGCCGCCGCCGCCGCCGCCGCCGCCGCCGCCGCCTCCTCCTGGCGAGTTCTGTATCTCTCCAGGTTTCCTTTCTCTCCGACTTGGGTGGAAACTACCCAAGCCTTTTGTACGGCTAGCAAGCCAATAGCTAGCCGCCACGTATGCCTACATTTAGAACCGGCCAATAATGTGGCACGAATCTAAATACAAATGGCGGGAACTCCTTTGCACCGTGCATCACTATGATGCAAAAGAAATGCACCATGCAAAGAAGGCTACAAACGGCGGGAAATACTCTTTTGCACGCGGGTTCGCCTATTGCAGCAGAAAACTCCACCGTGCAAAAAAGCTGCAATTTGGCGGTAACATAATTTAGCGGTGCCGAAGCACACAAAAACAAAAAACCACAACTTTGGGTTGTGACAAGGATGAGGCTGGCAGATAAAAGCAGAGAGTTTGGGGCTCTTAGAGTCCTAGTTTTGGTGGGCAGAGGGCCCTTTCAGCTGGTTGGGTAACTTTTTTTTTTCCAGGTTTTTTCTTCAGTTTTTGAGCACCCCAGAAGGGTCAGGCCCCAGCAGGTAAGAAGGCAGTTGGCTTGGGCACTAGGGGAAGCATGTCTGAGGCTCGGCATGAGGCTGGCAGATAAAAGCAGGGAGTTTTGGGCAGATAATGGCCCCTTTCTGGACAGAAGGCCCTGTTCTAAGATGTGTTGATCTTTTTTTCTTTTTACCATTTTTTTATTTTCTCCCGCCTCCTGAAGTTGCTGGGCTATGCTTGGCTTGTTGTGACCAGAGTCAGCTGGTGCTGTGGTTGCGTAGGCAGGTGCTTTAGGTGGACATGTCTGTGGCTGGATAGGTTGCGGTGTGAGCTGAAGGCCGTAAGGTTGCCAGGTCAAGGCTCTGTGTTGCCTCCTGTTTTCAGTCTCCGTATATGCCCCCCAACTCCCTTGTAACCCAGCCCTCACTGTTGCAGCCAGAGAGCACAGGGGTGGAGCCAACCCTGCTCTCTGGAGCAGAGAGCCCAGGCCAGGGCACAAAAGCCTGCTGGGTTGCTGGGGCAGTTTGATTTAATTTGAAGCAGGCAGAGATCTGGGACAGAAGTTTGATAAACCTATAAACAACTTGTGCCCCGGCAGCTGGTGGGGCGTGGCGGCAGCAATGGGAGTGTAGTGGCAATAAACAGGGAGCTCCTGCAGATACCGGCAGCTCTGTTGGCAGGGGTGGATTTGTGAGTGTGGGGGAGTGACACCACAGACAGCAGCTATTTCTAGCGGCCAGCAACAATGGCTGACTGGTCTCCAGCGCCGTCAGTGGCGATGATGGGTTGGCGAGTGGCGACTGCACGCAGCACTGCCAACACTGTCGTCAGCCCCTTTTCATAAGGGGTGCACATGTACCCGCATGCACCCCCTATACATCACGAATGCATAAACTGGTCTGACACAAATCAGTTAAGTGTGATATTACATTGAAACAGGTTTATCTTAAACCAGTTTCAGCCATTTTGAAACTGGTTTATGTGCTCTGACCTTCTGTTCTGTTACAGGTTTAAACCAGTTTCTGATCACTTATACTGGTTTATGTGTAACTTCTTTCCCTAACCTAATAGTGTGATAATCTTAGGCATTATTTGCCTTTCCTTTTCCCATTGTAAGACTTTTATGAATCCAAGTCTTATCACCTACCTCCTGGGAGCAGGCAGTGAATGAAAACTTTCACTCAAATTGTAATTAAGAGTAAGGTATAGTTGTGGGTTTGATAAATCCCTCACTCTGAATTCCAATTTGAGTGAGAATTTAATTTTTTTCCAAAATGTCTATAGTCAGCAATGTGTGAAGTTGGCTTTTGTGTAGGATGAATGTATGTAGAATCTGATCTAAGGTGCTGCTTCACCTTCCTTTTTATAAACAGAATAAACTAAACTCCTTGCATTTGCCTCTTTTCCAGATGGGTGATTTTTGTAGCTCTTCTCTGAAAGTGCAGACACTCCTATAGACATGCTATTCTAATTAGAATGTGTTGGAGCAGTTAATTGAGTCTGCCGAACATTTTAATTAGAATGCTCCAGCATGTCTCGCCATCACCTGTATAAGCCCTCACGTGTTTCAAAATGGTGATGGTGGCACTTTTAACTAAAGCTCATTGGACTGACTTTAAAGCCCCCTGTGGCCATTTTGAAAAGAATAGGGGCTTCTACACCTGACAGTGAGCTGGTAACCACCGTAATTAAAGTACCCACCCTCACCTCCAAGTACTGTATGGGTACCCTAGGACTAGTCTCTTCTAGTTCACTTGCCCATGCCATATGAAGCAGTACCATCACTTCCTCAGTCCTGCTGCAAATTTCCCTCTCCACCTATCTAGTAATAGAGTTGGTGTCAGACAAGCTTTTGGCAGACAAGGTTCTTTGGATAAATCTGGTATCTTTTATTAGACCAACTGAAATAGTTGGAAAAAATCTTTGCAAGCTTTTGGGTATATATACCCTTCGTCCGGCTGTGGAAGCATCTGCAGTTGGTGTGTGCTCATCCTGGATGGAATGAGTAGTAAAGAAGCTGGTATGGCTTTCTTGCATGCACTCTGCCTATGTCCTTAGCCAAACACAGCTACATGCTAAGACAAGGTATTGGGCGCATGCAGCCCTTCCTCTGGTCACGAAGGGCCCTACTACATGTTCCCGTTAAACCTGGATAGAAACCAGCTCTGAAGTTTGGTGCATGTTCTCGAGCACTAACTTTGTAGCGGGCTGGCTCCCTTTCTAGTGGGATGGACACTTTTATGGCACAATAGTGACTTACTTTGCAGGTCACACAGTCTAAATAGATTGCGGGATTCACCTGTGAGTTGAGTCAGGTATGTAACGTGAGGCAGGGCCCCAGGTCTGTCACCTCTCCCAGGCGGACCGGGCTGCGCCGCGCACGTTTCCTGCCCCTCGTGGGGACACCCGCGCTTCGGCCCCGCCCCCAACGGGGGGACCGCGGGCAGCACAGCGGAAAGGGCTGATGCCGCACCGCTCACTTCCGGGCAGCCCCGCCCCTCAGCGGCAGTGGCGCAGCAATGGCCCCTCCCAGCGTGGGGGCGGAGCTAGTTGCTGAGGCGACTGTGGAGCGCGCGCCACCGCAGCCAAACGACATTTCCGGGTTGGGCCACGCCCGCTCGCTCTGATTGGCCTAGATAACAACAGGCTCTTCCGTCCCCCGGCCGTTACCAGAGTAACAGAGACGCTGTTAGCTGGAGGAAACGTGTTCCCCCCTGTCCTGGGTGCGGTGCGCATGCGCACTTGAGATGTTGCCAGGCGCGTCCCGGCTGGGAAGATGAAGGTGAGGGGCCGAGGCCGTTACTGCGCGGGCCGGGGGGCGGCGGTGCCCGACAGGCCGGAACGGGGCTACGGAGGCCGCCCCGTGAGGCGGCGGGTGCGGGGGCGCTGCCGCGCGGTGCTCCCAGCTCCTGTGCCCTCGCCCGGGGCTGCGGGCGCCAGCGGCATCTCCTGAGTCGGCTGCGCTGTTTGGCCCCGGGCGCGATGCGCGGGAATGGCACCGCCCTGACAGAGCAGGCGTGGAGCTGCGGGTGTCCCACGAACAGGGATGACCGCCCCACAAGTCTCGGGCTGTGGGGCTCGCAGCAGGGGAAGTGTCTTTGGCTGTGGGGCTTGTAGTGGGGCAGCAGGGAGACTGCTGCTGTGCTGCAAGCCCAGTGAGTTGGGCTCGCAGCGGTGGCAGCACCCCCTTCTGTTAGCCCCGCACCTCCCAAGGCTCGTTCTCTGCACCGCCTGACAGTGGGGACAGCTGCCCCTTCTGTGAGCCCCGCAGTGCGTGTCACCTGGCAGCCTTACAGCCCTGGGAGCCGGTGCAGAGGAAACCTGGGATGGTGATCACAGGCTCCCCCTACACCAGCAGTAAGCAAGAGGATCTAATGTGCAATCCCACAGTCACACTTTCTGTCACGCACGTGTGGCCTGGCAGGAGGCACAATTGTGTGGACCTCACGTTAGAGCTAATTGCGCCTTTATCTGCATGTGTAGTAGGGCCCTTTATTAACATGTGCCTAGGTGTTTTACTACGTTGTTTTTTAAACACTTGCTGTTTTAAAGTTAATAATTCTCCTCTTTTTGCCCTCCCTTTCCCCACAACCCCCCCCGCCAGCGAGTGTTTTTTCTTTCAGAAAAGTCTTTGCTTGGTTCACCAGTGCAATTAACCTGGCAGAAGACTTTAGGAAATTTTCTTGCAGTAACGGGGTAAGAAAACTATGAGCCTCCCTCTGTTATTGGAAGGAGGCTGTAAAAGCTAACAAGCAATTTCAGGGGACAAGAAATGAGAAAATGGGAGCAGGAGGGTAGGTCATAGGTTAATAATAAATGTTTCAAGGAGGGCTATGGAGCAGAACGCACCACCCAGCACCCACTGTGCTGCAGTCAGACCTAGTTCTTATGCAGTGGAGAAACAAAGGGCCATGTCCACTAAGGGAATTATGAGCCTCTCTTAGTTGGGGAGCATGTGTGTGTGACTGGTGCCTCTTGAGTCTGAGGGGGGCACCTGCAGAAGTTAGCTGCGGCAGTGGGGACAAGGCTGGCAAGCACCTGTGGAAGAAGGCATCAGTGGTGGGGATGGGGCTGGCAAGCACCCACAAAAGCTGCCGGAGGTGTCAGTGGCCCCCCCCATGCCTCCCCTACCAGTTGCCTATGTTAAAGAGGCAACTGAGTGCATAACAACTTTAAATATTTTTTATGTGTACAGAGAAATCATTGAAAAGTGCAAATAGCATTAGCTATTAGATGTGAAAATAGCTCAAAGTACTGACCCAACCCCTGGAAATAGTCATAGATTAAATTTGGGAACCAGATCACAGGGATATGAAAGATCAGTGGAAAACATTCTTACTGATATTTGTAAATGTACAAAGAAAATTCAGTTGGCCTTATTTGCTAATCCTTGTTCAATTTTTTTAGTGTTGATCACACTGTAAAAATCTTTGATCGTCATGGTCAGAAGAGAAATGAAATTAACCTACCAGGGTAAGTACTGAGATGGGTTTTGAGTGCTTTCTTAAAAATACATTTTTTTTTAAGGACATGATCGTATAAATAAGGAATATGAATCAAGCTGCGGCCATGAGGCAGGGTTGATTTTGCAATAAAATAATGACAAAAAATACTATGTTCCTGTACCAATGATGTATCTCGGTGTCTTGTGCTACCTGTCATCTTTGGTGCTACCAGGCTGTTTTATTTTATCAAGACAAAACCTGCCCAGAATAGAGAGCAAGAGCACAATTCATATTCCTTACAATTTTTTTTTTTTTAAATATTATTTATTTTATTTTGTCTGGTAAAGCAGTGAGAGTCCATGCTTCTCACTCAACGCACATACAACAGTTTTAAAACCTTTTTTCTTATATATTTTACAATTATTTTTTTTAATCAAAAAAACAATAGCTGAGAGATTATGCCAGTATCACAGTATAGAAGACAATAAATGACTTCTTTCAGATTCAGGGCTAGTTTTGTTGTACTTCTGCTTCCTGCCTGCAGTCAGTTGGAGCAACTGTGATGAACCTACAACTTCCATGTTATTTCATTAGTTGTTCCCAGTACTTAGTAATTATGCATTTAGTTGCCTCCCTAACTATAATTGTCTTAGTGTGCTTGGCTCACTGTTTCCCCATTGTATAACAGATAGGCCTGACTGCAGTCAGTGGGTGCTGGGTAGTACATTCTGCTTATTACCCCCACTTGAAACACTTATTGTTAACTTATGACCCACACTCCTGTGCCTATTTTCTCATTTATTGTCCCCTGGAATCACTTGCTAGCATTTATGGCCTCCTTCCAATAATAGAGGGAGGCTCATAATTTCTGTGTGAGCCTAAGCTCACAGACTGTAGCCAGAATACAAGAAGTGGCTGACATTTATACAGACACTCCTATCCCACGATTCATCCTTTTTTTATTCCGGGTATGCAGCTAGGCTTCTGGGTGGATAGTCTGCTCTGCCACTTCCATGTCTTTAGGTACACCAAGTGACCACTTCCCCCTTCTGTATCTCCCAGTCCTTTAGTCTCTGAATCCTTTTCTACAACAAAAGGAAAATAGTCCTACTTCAGATGCAGAGATTTTTTTTTATGATCGTAGTGTACAGGTACCTCCAGAATGCTCATCTCCTTTCACTACAAATTATGATATCCCTGTTCCTGTGTCAGTTCTAGGATCTTCTTGTAGCTACAGCCTTTTTCTGCATCAGTGTGGCTCTTTCTCAAGCTCATACATTAATTAGTACTAAGCGAGTTTTCAGGTTGCGTTGAGTAGCTTTAAAAAGTGCTATAGTTTGGTGAAATCCATATTTTCATGGGACATAGTTAAGTGACATAGTTGTAATCCTTTATCCATATTTTATGTATAAGAGACATAGCTGGAGGCCCACCAGCCCCAGAACCTTTGGAGGGACTAGGGTGGTAGGCTACTTGTGAAGGCAAAAGGAGGAGGAAGAGGTCATAAGACTAGTTGAAGTTTGTGCTAATGCAGCAGCTTCTACATAGATATTCAGGTTTGCAAAGAATGAATGTCTCATCCTGTCACTTGGCTTCATTTAGAAGGGATGGAGCAGGGACTGTGGCCTTGTGTACAATGCTTAGAATTCTGGATATTTTGTACCTTAAAAATAAGCTTTTAAAATCTCTAATGAAATTTATTTTTTCTTGTGTTTTTTAAGCAACTGTGTTGCCATGGACTGGGATAAAGATGGAGACTCACTAGCAATAATTGCTGACAAATCTAGTACCATTTATTTTTGGTATGCCAACACAAACAAAACAAGCCAGATGGACAGTGGCATGAGGTAGGAAACTTTGGTGTTGTTATCTTTATTATTATAAAGTTAATATTGGGAATACACTGTAGTATTATACTCTTAAATGACCTTGGACTTGCCTAGCGGAGAGACTACTTCTCCCCCTATAGCCAAACTTGGGAGCTGGAGCATGGGTCTTGTTCAGTTTGAAAGAGCAGAAGCTGCTGCTAAAATGCTTTCCTTGAACACACTTTAGCTTTGGAACTTGAATGCATCTGTTGATCTTTTCATTCCATCCAGGAAGAGCACACACCAACTGCTGAAACTTCCTTAGCCTGACGAAGGGTTTTTGAACCGGAAAGCTTGCTTAATAACTATTCTCCAACTATTTGGGTTGGTCTAATAAAAGATATCAAATTCACCCAAGGATCTGTTGATCTTCAGCATTTGTTGCAAATATATCTTTTTTTTTTTAATGCAGCTTTTGGGGAAAAGTGTGAAGGTGTGCTCCTTTCTAATCATTCTGCTATAAATGTTTCCTGATCATTGTCCACTGATAGTGGTGGTTTTCTGCTGGATCTTCAACATGTGGTGGGTAGGTGGATAGTGGGTCATGAATCATTTAGCTACATAAAAAAACAGCTTTGGGTTAGCCTGGATTGTTTTTATGCTTATGATCTTGTTCAAACAACACTTTAATATTTCAGGTTAATTTCCTTAGAGATCTAAATGCCATTCACAGAATTAGGGAGGAAGACTAGGTGATACTATGCTCTGTAGCTCCATGCTTAGGGCACCTATCTGTGATATGAAAGATCCAGGTTCAAATCCCTTCTCTCTATCATTTGAAGCAAAGACTCTTTCTCAGTAGCAGTCCCCTAGCCACTGAGGTATAGGGTACTTTGGCAACTTTGTCAATCTTTTCTATTGAAGCTGTTTCACATTGTTTAATTACTTACTATTAGAGGTGCACCGATATATCAGATTGGCACTGCTAAAAGGAAAATTAACAAGATCGGCCATTGGCTTTTTTTGGCTGATGTAGATGATAATGTCAATGATAAATGCTGCGTGCATGCATGCAGTCGCAGAATGCACACAGCCAGGAATGCAGCCAGGCAGCAGGAAGAGCAGCATCTGGCTGGTAAGTCTTGAGGGGCGGGGGGAAAGGGGCATGGAGGGCTTTGCTCTGCTGCCTTTCCCTTGGTGAGTGCCCTGAGCAGGGGCAGTGCTGGGAGAAGCTTGGGCTATAGCCACCCCTAAATTCCCCATAGCCCCTGCTCCCAGCGTCGCCACTACCGCCCCATGCAGCTGAGCTCTTCCTGCCCACCCCTTGCTCCATGTGTTCTTTCCCTGTGCTCCCCTAACACACCATGAGCCCTTCCCATGCTCCCTCCAGGACCGAGCACCCTCTTCCATGCACACCCTCCCTGCACCCCTTTCCTGCACTCCCATCACTCCATGCATCCCTTTGCCAGTGCCCCCTGTCACCCGTTCCTACATGCTCCCCCCATGCCACACACCCCTTCCCTATGTCTCCCTTCCTCTCCCCCTGCCATTACATTTAATTTTGGTTAAGGGGTGGTGTGAACATAATGAAATGATTGGTGATCCTATTCCAATCTCAAATCCAAATTTATTGAACACACAAGCAATACCACTACTCGAGCAAAACCCCAAACAAGTCTGTAGATGTATTCTCTCACAGTTCTTCCGAAGGGTGAACAATGGCTGTACTGATTGTCATGGCACTGGGGGTTGCAGTTTTGACTCTGGCTTGGTGACAGCTCTCCATACTTGAGTTTGTTTCCTTAGGCTTTTATACCCTTTTACAGCCCTTTTCTGTATATTTCATATATGGTCATGCTATAGATCCTCACCAGTTACCTTTCACCGCAGTTTTTTCCTCATCAATCTTTCACCCTCAATCTATTTCTTTTGCTTCTTACCTACTGAGCTATCTTTAGGTTTGTTTTGCTTCTCTATTCTATCTTTTCTTACATTCTACAGCTATATCTATATTTTGTTTTGCCTACAGGAGTTGTTTGTGTGACCTCTGTGCTTAGTTGCCTCTGTGTACACTTTTGCTGGAAACTCATGGTGTCGGTTCAAAGGGGAAAAAAAAAAGGCATCAGTTATGCCAAGGCAGCTTTTCAGGCCTACATGCCATATCATACACCCTTTTTCCCATGCCATTTTCCCATACTCCATGCATTCCTTCCCCCATGTTTCCCTCTGTACTCCTTCCCCATGTTCTCCCCCTGCATCACGAATGCTTTCCCCCAAGCTTCTCCCTGTACTGCACTCCCTTCCCCCACACCATTTCCCTCTGTTCCACATGTCCCTTTATTTATGCCCCCTCCCCCAACTCTGTATCCCTTTCCCCATAATCCTCCCACCACATGCCCCCATCCCATACTCCCTTATGCACACCCTACCTGCCACAGGAGCTATCCTGGTCCCATCCAGACCCACTGCACCTGCTTGCCTGGCCCATATCCCATTTTAAGATGAAAGGCTGAATGAGGAAAAAACCCCTAGTCTTATATTTGAGTAAATATGTTAAATAGAAATGGGGCCAGAAAGAGAGAAACTCTGTATCTTGATGGTCAGGCCACTTACTTGGAAGAAGTTGTTTGGTTTTTTTTATTCCTGGAAATTCTGGAAAATGACCCAGAACATGTATGTTTTAAGTTTTTGAAATTGCCAGCAAACCAAAAAAAGTCAATTCACTTTCAAGTGATTGTCTCTCTGCACCTTATATGCTCCATTTATGTTTATAGCATCTGGACTGAAAAGGCTATATTTTTATCCTGAGTACACACTTGACTGACATGGGTGTAAGCAATGCTTATTAAATGCACAGTAGTGTCAGTGCTGTGGTGTTAGCATCTGTGACAGTGACTCACTCCTGTCATTTTCAAAGCTTCTAATAGTTTCACAATTAGGCTGTCAGAAGCCTTTCAAATGACAAGAGATAGCAGCCTTAATTAGTTCCTGTCAAATTTCAGAGCTTTTAGTAGTAGTCTTTTGATAGCTGAATCCTCTTCACTGCTCCTCGTCCAGTTACTATACAGGTAAATGTGATTATGTTATACAGTTAAACACAGTGTGCATTTATCCAATACATATGCAGAACTCTTGGCAGAGGTGGTATCTTTTATTAGACCAACTAAATGGTTTGGGGAAAAAAAAATGTTTATTTGCAAATTTTCAGGTTCATGCACCCTTCCTCAGGCCAAGGAGAATGCACATGTTGTAACATTTCTTCCAGGTAGAAATGAAACTTCGTATTGCACAGGGAAATAAAAATGTTATAGGTAGGTTCCCCTGGATGGAAAAGTTCATTTTATGCAAATTAGACTCCAATAAAAGTTCAAGCAATCTGTCTATCTCCAAGTTGTCTGATGGCAAGCAGGGTGTTGAATTTTTTCTTTCTTCTTAGTAAGATGTTTTCTTTTGCACAGGAGAGAGAGGCTGATGGAATGAATCTCCTGGCTGAGGCAGTTCTGTTGTGTGAAGCTTGTTTTCCAGGTGTGCAAATTCAGCTCAAACAATTTTTGCAATTATTTAGTTGGTCTAATAAAAGATATAATCTCTGCCAAGAGTTTTGCATATTTTTGCCTGTAGACTAACCCAGCTAAAGCCTGTATCCCTGAAACATACAATGTATTGCAGTTAGTGTCTTTGAAATGAAAACTTCACAATATTTACAAAAAAGAAGCAAAAATCCAACGTCCAGAGATCTGGAGAATTCCACCCTTACCCCATCCAACCTTTTATTTGAGCTGAATTTGTATACTTTGAAACCAAAAACACACAACAGAAATGCCTCAGCCAGGAGCTTCATTCTGTCAACCTCTCTCCTGTGCGATAGAAAACATCTTACCAAGAAGGTAAACAGACTGCTTGAACTTTTATTTGAGCCCAATTTGCATAAAATGAACTTTTCCACCCAGTGGAACCTACCTATAACATCTTTTTATCCCCTTGTGCACTATGAAGTTTCATTTCTACCTGGGAGAAATTGTGAATGGTGTGTGCCTCTGGAGGCTGGGGGGGCATGGCAACCACCCACAGGCAGTGGCGGTGGTGAGCAGGAGGCTCCCACAGGTGGCCACAGCAATGGCAGCAGCGGGGGGTAGGGAGGGGTGGCGAGTGCTGACTAGTAGTCAGTGACCACCCTCAGACGCTGGCAGCAATCGGCGACCACCCGCAGGCACCGTCAACAGTGGCCAATCAAAGGGGGTGTACTGCCAGTCTCAGAGGGTGTACGTGCACCCCCTACATGTCGCCAGTGGGAGAAATGTTACAATCTGTGTGCAGTCTCCTTTGCCTGAGGAAGAGTGCGTGAGCCTGAAAGCTTTCAAATAAAAAAAAAAAAAAAAAAAAAAAAATTACAACTATTTAGTTGGTCTCAAAAGATGCCATCTCTGCCAAGAGTTCTGCATATTTCTGCCTGTAGACCAACATGGCTAAGACCTGTATCCCTTTATCCAATACAGGCATATAGGTAGTATGCACTTTATTGGCACATGTATGCCTGGTGCACCTAAAACTGGAGGCTTTTTAGTATGGTTCACCTGGTGTGCCGATTAAGCTTTAGTTTATTGGTCTGAGATGGATTTTCTTGTTCTCCATGTCCAAACTGCCAGAAATGCCTTGTTCTACTATTTGAAAGTTTACATTAGGAATTAGTTTATTTCTGTTCCAACCAGAATGGATAAGAAATCCTCATTGGATGAGATCAAGGGCAGATGTCATCCCTTCCCCACCTACAAAGAATGCTTTCTATAGGAAATCTGCCCCACACCACCTGCACACTTAAACTTCATGGCCTTGAGTGGCTCCTAAAGAAGCATGTACAGACAATGGTACTGAGGATTTGGCACTAAAGCACTGTACTGGAGTGCTATTTATAGTACTGCCAAAAATCACCTCATCCCAGGACTCAGCTCTGTGGTACCAACTTCTTTGGAAGCTCTCTTGGCATCTTGTGGCATTAGTTCGCAACCAGCAGAGAACCAAATAGAGATGATAACAACACCTCACTTTTATGCCACATGCCAACTTGTAGCATGGCTAGACTTATTGAGCCTGCAGAAACCTGGACTGGTGGTTCCAGGACACTCAGTTAATTGGGTTCATTGATAATTCTTCTCAACATGAAAACCAATGATACCGTTTCTCTCACCTGCTTCCGTAGTTTCATATGATGCTAGGGTTTGAATGATCGTAGATAGGGACCTACTCAAATTGCAACTTCACAGATTTTGCGGAAATCACGAAATTCAGCCATCTCTACAAAATCTGCAGGGAAAAAAAAAACTCATTAAAAATAAAATGCTGGCTCCCCAGTGGGAGACAGCAGACTGCATGGCTGGAAGGACTGCTGAGGGGAAGGAGACTGCCAGCAGGCAAGATGGCAGCTGTCCCACCCCTCACTGCAGATTGGCTGAGGGCTGCCTGCTGAATGATACCTCTACCAATCAGCAGCAAGGGATGGGACTGTATGACAGACAGCCCTCTCCACCAATCAGCAGTGGGGAGGTGGGGCCACCAGGGCCCCTTGGCCAATCAGAGGCATGTGAGAGCCCACCATGATAAGCCCGCAAAAATGGTAGCCAGCCCCATGATCTGCCCACAAAATCTGCGGGCCTCCTCCTCAAGATCAGTAGGCCCTCTACTCCTAGAGATACTCTCCAAAAGTATTCCCTCTACCTTCCTTCATGTCCCACAGAGAATCTAGAGGATTGCTCTAGGATTGTTTGCTCAGTGGCTAGCCTGTAAACCAGTGATCTCAGCCAGGCTGCCATGATGCTCTTTTAGGTGTACAGGCACCTATACACAGTCCACAAGCTAAATCTAGAGGTTTAAAATAGGAATTCATAGGTCAGAAACGTTTAGACCTACTGTAGTTTTTCCTAAGTTGTTTGCAAATAGAATTGCTGTGCTATTTTTCCATAATCAAAAAACAAGTGAAAGCTAAGAGCTGGCCTTTTTGAGGCATGCCTCAAGTTTAAAAAGGTTGAAAACCACTGCTATAAGCCACAGTTATCTTAGCCACAGGAGCTTTACCCATCAATGTCAGCGTAGCTCTACTGGGAAATACCTGTACAGATCCCAGTGAAGGAAGCTGAGGAATCAGCCTGCAAATGAGTGGAGGTGCTGCAGAGAAAGTAGTATTCCTGATAAAGGAGGTGATTATGGACCTTGCTAGAATAGTCTGACAAACACCAGCCCATACCTAACCTAAGTTTTATAAGAATTACTGGAGTTCTGTTTCATTCAGTGTCATTACCTTGTGTCATGAGGGTCATTAACAAGAAGTCCTGCCAATAGCAAGCAAACTACACCAAAAATTGAACCAACGTGATGTAATGTATTTGATCATAAGGCATAGTCTTCTTTCTACCTAGTTACCACCTTCCAGGCACTGTTGTTCTCCAGCTTCTATTTTTGAGTTGGGGACAAGCAAGCTTAGCATAGTTGTTAGAGAGAAGTTATCTTTTTTGAGAGCAGAGTGTCAAATGGTGGCAAAAAACAGCTTACGAGCAGCTCTTAAGGCCACAGATACGGCCTCCTACTTGGTGCTGTCTGTAGTGGTTATGCGGAATAGCTTCAGGAATCTGGTTTCCCTTGTTGAGATATTTGAGCCACTCTTGAGGAATCCGGAACTAGTAATGCTTACTCACCTACTCCAGGCATAGGTCCTTTATTATCACAGGTCAGCCACTGGATCACAGACACCATCATGTTCTTTCTAACTTCACTAAATGTGTACTTCTGAACCCAGTTCCTCCTCAAGGGCCACTCAGATCTTTCTATGCTTCTGTGTCCTGTTATTTATCTTACAAGGAGTAATAGAAGAGTTTCCTTACCAGTATGAGGGCAGAGCGTTCTGAATTACATTCTAATCCCAGAAAAGAGAGACTTGACTGACTTTGGACCTCAGAAAGTTCAAGGTATTCATCAGCCACACACAAAATGGTTTCCTTCTTAGATTCCTCATTTAAGCTTGATTCTGATTAACAGTCACAAGCTAGGGGCTTTTTTCAATTTCTTTGTTCCTACTTTATGTCCAAGTATCAGCATTTACAGTTAGGATATGGACTCTAACAGTCCTCCTTAAAAAATCCTTGATTTGTATATTTTTGTTAGTTTGTTTCTCACTCTTCCTGTTTTGCTAGCAAAACAGATAAAATGTACTTCAAAGGCATTTCACACCATTTTCTAAAATCTGATTGCATGAATGAGACTCACAGTAAAGGGGTCAGTCTAATTGAATTCATAAACAACACGCTTTCTTTAGTGTGTGTAATTTATATATATAAGCAAATTAAGGTAAACTATTATTATTTAAAGTTGTGCTCACCATTAAACTGAACCATAAAAATGATTGAAAGGTCAGTTACATACACACATATATGTTGCTGTTTAAAGAATACATATGTCTATGATCTTGGAAGTTCTATATTGCACCACTCAGTACTACATTCCCTAAGAAACTAAAATCCAGTTTAAACTATAATTCAGACAAAACAGGTTTTTATGTAACAGTAAGTTTTAAAAGGATAACATTAAGTATTGTAGCTATGTATGAGATGTACAGATTATTTAAATTATACAAGAAGTGCCATGATATGGTGTATCTCTGTTTTATGAATGTAATGTTGAGCAGTATTTTAAAGCCAATAGTCCTTAAATCAAAGTTACATTTCTGTTTGAAGGAAAATTGGTTATTTCACAACCTATGTGAATTATTAGGCAAATTATGTCTTGTACTGTTTAGTATTATAGTGTACACATGCTAATCTGTATCCTATTAACTGTAGGCATATTTTTAAACAACTAGATTTCTCAATTATCACATGAACATTAAATTCCTCTCAGCAGTGTGGGTTCTTTAAAGCAAGTAATATATTGGCCCTTAATATTGTCGTCAATTCTTGATGGAGTAAAGTAGATTTGGCCCAAAAATATTTTTGAGTATGCTTATAAAACCTGAGAATTTGTTTTGAAAGAGCTATGTTGAATCATAGGCCTGATTTGTAAACAGACATTATGCCTGAACAGTTTGTGTAATCTTATTTTTTAAATAACCAGCAGTCACTCATTCAAAATAAATGGTTTGACTTTACTACATAAAAAAACAAAAGGGCATAGCCTGTTTTAATCAGAACACAGTAGGCTTTCATTACAGTTCTTCCTGTGACCTGTTTTTATATAATGTATGAAGCAAATCCATTAAAGGCAGCAAGTGCCATGGCAATCAGCTTAGTAATTCTCCTTCCCCAGAATATGAATTACTTGGATGGGGGTAGAGGGTATGTGGCTGATTTGTCTGATGTCTCGTATTAGTTCTCAGGCAGCGGTAGAGGACAACATGTGAACTGTGTGGAAATAGTGATCAGCACCACTGAAAAACCCTAAAATGTTCCTAAAACAAACACAAAATATACATCAGAGAGAGTTTCACACGTTAAGTAATAGCTCATACTCATTTCATATTCCCTGTGGCACCTAAAATAAAGTAAGGGGTGATCTACAGGAAGCTGTATAGATCCTTTGAAACAGAAAATTCTGGTGCAACCTTAACTGCGATCTCACTACTTTGAGCCTACAATACAACAGTACAAATTCAGCAGAATATCAGGACATGGGGTACTGTGAGGGATTGACAGGCCTAGCTGGAAGGAGCTTGAAATAGGAAAAAAAAGATAGTAAAATACTAATTTTCAAAAACAAAAAAAATTCTTGTAACAATTCTTGAAACTAAAACGTAACCTATCATGAATTTATTAAAAATTTGAAGTGTGAATAGCTTTTTACTAAGCTTTCATACTGCATTGAGTAGTTTGTCAATGAAAGAACTGGAAGCTCTGTAAGCAAACTATTAAAATGCAAATAAAATTAATAAAAGTACTGTATTATATTTAGTATCATTTATTTGGATTATCTCTTCCAGCGTTTCTCTCATATATCCATTTTAGGTATGGTAACTATGTTTATGGACAGGTGCAACCTTCCAGCATATGGACAGAACTAAACATATACATAAAATAAACCAACGCTTTTTCTTTTTGGCACAGTTCATAGTTATTCTGTAAATGCTTAAGCATAATTGGTAAACTTTCTCTAAAAACACACACAAAAAAAAAAATCTGCATTATGTAGTTTTCATGTGAGTATAAAACAGTTGTCTTAAAAACCATGTTCAAGTTTTTAAAACGAATCTCAGTGTGATGGCATGTCAAAGATTTTATTTTTTCTGTGTTTCAGGGACTCAATGTCTTTCTTGCTTTGGTCCAGAGTTGGAACCTTACTTGCCATTGGAACAACTAAAGGAAACTTACTTATTTATAACTGTCAGACTTCTCGAAAGATTCCTGTTCTTGGTATGTTCCATACTGAAGTCATTTGGGTTTTGATCTGTATACCCAAGAGCAAAATTTTACTTTATTTTTTTTGTGCATGAAAATATAATAATATATATATTTGTAACTCTGGCATGTTCCTTTGTTATTCTGCTACTTTTGGTTCCCTGTTCTTATAGGGTCTGGCTTGTAAACCTGCTCTGGACTTCCTTAGTGGGAATTCCAAGTTTTCCATGTGGAAAACTTCAATTGAGAAAAGATTGTGGTGATATTTTGTGTTGCTGAACTATCTTTCTTTGCCCCTACTTAAATGTATACTAAGTCTCCTTCAGGCAAAAAAAAAATTACAGCTTTAGCAAATACCCCCAAAATTAAAAGCAAAGATAAGGGTCCTCAAGTTCCCATATAGCATACAAATACAGTCTTCCTGGGGTTATTTTAAAGAACTAAAAACATTGTTTTTTAAAATCTCATTACAGGTTTTTTTAGTCAGGCTATATTGTAAAAATCACAGACTAGATAAGGAATTGGGTGACCATCTTACTTGTCCTGAAGTCCTTTGTATGTATATTCTGGGGTTCTTATTTTTATTTTTCAGGTAAACATACCAAGCGGATCACATGTGGATGCTGGAGTACTGAAAACCTCTTGGCACTAGGTAGTGAAGACAAAACAATAACTATTAGCAATCAGGAAGGTGATACTATAAGACAGGTAACATTGTTATAAGGATACCTAATCTAGCTGTTAAATACAGGTTTGTGCTGCTGAGTTGAGAGTCTGTGCTCACTGTCTGATGGTTTGGGCATTGTGCCTCGAAGTTATGTGAGAGGATTATTTGCCAAGTTTCTAAGAATAGGCAAGGCAAAATGGGTGGAATGGTTTAGTCAGGGATACGCCTGATCCCATCCAGCCCTACATTTCTATGATTCCATGGTTCTGTGAGGTATGGGTAGAACAGGGTTGCTTAACCTCTGGCCTGCAAGACTGTCACGGCGGGGTCCTGCAGGAGGGCCATGATCTCCTCAAGGCCCCCTTCCCGTGCCAAGTTGACCCAAGGGCACCCTCAGATTCTCGCCCACCACATCTTTGATGACACAGTATAAGGGAGGCTGTCTTTTTCGCCCTCTTGGTCATGTCTTGCTGTAGTCTCTGCCCTGTGGACTCCCGGACCCCTCGTGGGTCCCGCTCTACAAATGGGTGCTTCCAGGGCACCCTGGCCTTAGGGGCTATGCGTGGCTCCTACCACCCCAATACCATGCCCCAAGCGTCGCAGATGTCACGGACGTTGTTCTGTCTCTTTCTGTCTCCACGCCCTCTCTGGCGCTCGGGTTCTCCGCAGTCCCGTCTCTCTCTCTTTCCGCGCCCTGTCTCTGGGGCCTCCTCTGTAAAGCCGCCCCTCCTCTCCAGGGTTCACCGCAATGCTACCCCCTTCTCCAGGGCTGACTGCACTGCTACCCCCTTCTCTGGGGCTCACCACGCCCACACTGGGACTTCTCAGCAATGCCCCCTTCTCTGGGGCTTCGGCTGTGCACCCCGAATGCTGCGCCCTCACTGGCGCTGGGGTCCCCACACTACTGTGGGTCCCCTATGAGGCCTCCTCCAACCACTAATAGCCTCACCCAAACCACCAGTGATAAACAGCAACACAACACAAGCCTCTTGGCTATAATATAAACATAAGCTGCCCAGCTATAACAACATTCAATCCTACCAGTGACCCTTTAACTCTCAGCAATGTTGGATGCTGCTCCTGTCAGGCTTCACCTCTCTCTCCCATGGCAGAGAGCTCCTTCCCCTTTTGCCTGCTAGTAGGAAACTGCCTCTGGCCTCAGCCCCTAGGGTTTATAAGGGAGCCAGGCCCTGCCCCTTTCAATCAGCTGACCACTGGCAGGGGGCATCTCTTCTCGCGCC